ATGTACACACGCGCACAGTTGGTGTACTGCTTCGAGAAAGGGGGATAACAAAGTACGAAGACTTGAAGCAGCGTCGGCTGGTGTGAAAGATCAAGAGAGGTTGATACAGAGAGAGGAAGGGGCACTGAAGGCGATTGAAACGAGAAACACAAGAACGAGACATGCATGGAAACGACGCTTCACATAGACTGCAGGGACAAATGCAGAGTGGTTGCGCGAATGGGATGTCAGTTGTACGAGTGAAGAAAGAGGTAAGACAGTGTTGTTCGACATGGACGTTGGGGTTGACATGTACACAAGTGCGCGCGCATGCAAGTGCACGCCCATACACACACACCAAGCACTCACAACGCACCCACACACCAAGCACCCACAACGCACACGACACGCGCACATCGCACATCGCACGTACACACCTTTGCTGTTCAAGTCTCCTTCTTCTGCACTGCTGATACGTAGTGATATGCAATGACAAGAAGAAAGATGACGACGCCAAGGATGTTGGCCGTCAGCATCAACTGCGTGTCAGTGATCATGACTGTGTGTGTATGTTGTGTGTGTGTGTGTGTGCGTGTGCGTGTTGTGTGTGTGTGTGTGCGTGTTGTGTGTGTGTGTGTGTGTGTGTGTGTGTGTGTGTGTGTGTGTGTGTGTGTGTTGGAGGACGCTGCTAACTGCTGAATGCAAAGTGTGTTGGTGGCAGTGGCTCGGTATTGGCTGGTCGATGACGAAAAATATACATATCTTCACAAGTTATTCAACAACCGCGGCAGCCAGGGGAACAAAGCAGTAGTGCAGTAAGTCAAGCAAGCAGCGAGCGCAGACCAAAGCGTCGACCAAAGGACAAGGAGGCCGGGATGGCAAACAAGGATGAGGACGTTCGCGTTGGGGACGCCATGGCGCTGCTGGGCCAGCAGCCAACCATCTCAGAGGCGTTCAAGACATTCTTAAGCATGGTCTTGGCACAGCAGCACAGCCAGACACCTGTGGTGGCCACAAGCAGCAGCGTTCCACGTCGCAGCAGCGCACAGGACGACCAACAACAACAGCAAAACACAGGCGACGCACAACCTGCCGAATCACAACAACAACAGCAGCAGCAGCAGCAGCAAGAGCGACAGCAGCAAGAGCATGTGGGCGTGAAAGAGATGCCCTTGTCAAGGGCCTCGCTGCCACACTTGCAGGTGCTGATTCGGGAGACGCTGCGCGGGTGCTCCTCATTTGACCTTGCACGGCTGCAGAGGGTGCAGGGCAAGGACGAGACCGGTTCGGCGTTCCTCGACTCCCTTGGCCGCCTGCGCGCCGTGCAGCACGTCTGTCAGCTGCTGGAGAACAAGCAGCAGCGCCGTACGCGGTGGCTGGGTTCCAAGTACTTTGAACTGGTTTGGCCGCTAATTCAAGAAGACTTGCGAGAGTCGGAGGCCATCGCCTCCGCCGCCATGCAGCCCGAGCTCGTGGACGCTTACATCGCCGCCGTCACTGCCGCGCTCGCTGATGCAGAGAAGAGCGCCATGTGGAGCCCGAGCCTTGAGGCCCATCTGCAGGAGCAAGCCCAGAAGCGACGAGAACAAGCAGCGGCCCTGGCCACGGAGGTGGCTCAGATGGCACTGGATGCAGACGACGACGATGATGACGCTGATGAAGGAGAGGGCGGTGAGGACGGGCGGGCGTGAAGGCGATGAGGATGGAGTGAGCGTGGAGGTGATGGAGATGGAGTGAGCCTGACGACTGTGGGCCTGGATTAAGCGTGATGACTATGAGGATTGGATAACACGGACACAAGTGCGGGCTGGTGACATGAAAACGCATGAAAACGTGTCCTGTCGTGTTACATCTTTACTTATGCAGGGGACATAGCAAAACGCAATACAACGCGCCCAGCACATGCCATTAAACGATTGTGATTATTAGAAGTGCGCAAAGCAAGTCAGTCAGCCAAGCTAGTACGAGCGAGCGAGCAAGCGAGCGAGGAAGGCTGAGACAAACAGAAGGTGTGTCTCGTGTCGCAGATGCAGTCATCACAGCTGGATGACATCGTCCGTGTGCTGAATCGGCAAGGCATTGTGGTCGTTGACGCCGCCCTGTTCCGATACAAACGACTGCACATCCACGCACTGCACGCTCGATGGTAAGCTGCTCACATCTGCAGGGGTGAAGCGCGGGCGCGACTGCAGGCCAGCCAGCTGCGGGGGGAGTGCGTGTGCCTTGCGAGGCGGCTGCATGGCGATGCTGTCAAGGTACTCGAGCATCAGCTTGCACTTGGCCAACTCCTCTCGTACGAGCGACTGCAATTCCTGTGACGACACGCCATCACCATCACTCCTGCTCCCGTGTTTGCTCCGCTTTGCCACGTGCCCGTTGGCAACCGCACGCACAGCACCGCCACTGCCACCGTTACTGCTGCTGTTCCTCCGACTGCTGCTGCTGCTGCTGCTGGCAATTGTGTGGCGGTGTGCCTGGGGCTCTGGTTGCCGCAGCAAGGCCGCCTGTTCGCTGTAGTGCATGTCAACTTCAACTGCAAGCAAATGGAATCGAGAGAAAGGTTCCGATGACGCGTGCGTGCGTGTGGGGGGGGGGACAGGAAAGAGAAGGGGGACATGGGTGCGTGCCAGGGTGTGGCTGGTGTTAGACTTGCATGCGTTGCTGACATGGGTGTTGCTGCAAACACAAGACACGTGTGTGTGTGTGTGTGTGTGTGTGTGTGTGTGTGTGTGTGTGTGTGTGTGTGTGTGTGTGTGTGTGTGTGTGTGTGTGTGTGTGTGTGTGTGTGTGTGGACGGACCGCGTGCTTGGCGAAGATAGGCGTTTGCGAGCGTTTGAGCGTTGCGCATGGCAAAATGCGTGTCCATGTCAGCCTCCATCTTGCACCGGCGCGTCGCATGCTCCACTTGCAAGAGCTTCTCTTCGGCCTGCTGCTCCAACTCCGAGCACGCAACCTCAAGCCTGCACACACATCAGTGAAAGGGTGTGTGTGCGTGTGTGTGCGTGCGTGTGTGTGCGTGCGTGTGTGTGCGTGCGTGTGTGTGTGCGTGCGTGTGTGTGCGTGCGTGTGTGTGTGCGTGTGTGTGCGTGCGTGTGTGTATGTGTGTGCGTGTGTGTGCGTGCGTGTGTGTGAGGAGGGAGAGTGAATCAGCAGCGCGAGCGAGCAACAAGGGGCGGGAAGGAAAGAAGACAGGCGCTATAATTATGTGCGTGTGCGTGTGCGTGTGTGTATGGAGGGCGATTGACGACGCACGCTTGTTGGGCGGCGAGGACGTCTTTGAATGGTGCACGTGCGTATTCCTTGAGTGCCTTGGCGGCGTCGGCTTCCGATAGGTCCGCTGGATCCGTGCTCACGCCCACTTCTTGCGTGTCTGGCAGGGGATGCACGTGCTCGTCTGCACAGATGTTGGGACGAGGCGAAAGCGTGCGCAGCGGATGGTGAGCGATGGGAATCAGGTGAGCGCAGTGGTGTAGCGCACAAATGGTGGCGCGCACTACTGGTGGGGAGCGGCGCGTGGGTAATGAAAAGAGCTCTGATCAGGCATGGGGTGTGTCAGAAACAAGCACGACAACATACATGCGTACCGTGGCGCGAGATGTCAGACATGTAGCTGGCGAGAAGCAAGCCCTTCACTGCAGACTCCTGCTCATGCACAAACTCCACCTGGAAACGTGACACACGCGTGTGAGTGGGGATTGGGCTGGGAGGAGGAGGGATGCACATGCTCGTGCATGAAGCACAGAGGCGTGTGAACACAGGCCAGCAGTGTACCGTGGCAGCATTCACACACATGCACACAGAGGAGCGGCGTATGCGCTCAGAGGAGCGGCGTATGCACTCACACACACACAGGTGCACATGCACACCGTCATACACACACACTCTCTCTCTCTCTCACACACATACACACACAGGTGCACATGCACACCGTCACACGCACACACATACACACACACACAGGTGCACATGCACACCGTCACACGCACACACACACAGGTGCACATGCACACCGTCACACGCACACACACACAGGTGCACATGCACACCGTCACACACACGCGCAACACACAAGCACACACGCTTACGCAGTCGCCAGGGTATGTCAGGAGAACGAGCGGGTTCACGCCATTGCTCATGTCAGGGGAGAGAGCATACGTGCACACTTGCTGGTATGAGTACAGCTGCGCCGCGTGGGAAAGAGCATGCATGTGTGTGTCGGATTGGTGGCCAACGAAGAAGATGACCTTGCCTCGTTGCCAGTCCAAGACAACGAGGATTCGAGAACCTTTGTTGGCTGGCGGCAGCTGCTTGAGCGGGAACTGGCGCCGCTTGCACAGCCGGCCATCGGAGTAGAAGCGGATGGAGTGCTCCTGCATGCTCGTGTTGGACGTGCTCTGCTCCGTCGTCGAGCACGGCACAATGCCCACGCCAATCTTGCTGTCCGAATGCTTGCTTGTGATGTGCACGACAAAGAAGTGCGCCGTGGGGTTCCCCGGCTGGGGGCGGCAGGCCGGCGTGGCATCTGCCGGCATGAACGCCGGCTTTGGCTCCTCAATGTCCCTCTTGCGAATGCGGGAGAACACGCCCCCATCCGCAAATTCAAGGACGCACTTCTTCTTGTCCGCGGCTTCCCCAAACCGCTTGAAGTCGCACTGCACCCCCTGCACCAGTCGGGCTGCTGTGGCCGGCACCGCCGGCGCTGGCGTCGTCATAAAACGAGTTGGATTGGAAGAGGCGGGCGTTGGAAGGGAGAGTGAGTGAGCAGCGTCGTGGTTGTCGTGTGGTTCGGTTGTGTGTGATTGTGGTTGTTGTGTGCGGCATTGCCGGGGTATGCTTGAGTTAAGGAATTTTTGCCGTGGAGACCAAGAAATGTGGTGGTCCTGTGGTCTAGGGGTATGATTTCCGCTTAGGGTGCGGGAGGTCCCGGGTTCAAATCCCGGCAGGACCCCAGTTCTTTTTCTTTTTCTTTTTTCTTGTTTCTTTTTGTTGGTTTGGGTTGTTTGAACTGGACGATCGATCCTGATTGCTTTACTTGCTTGCTTGCAAGACTCGGGGTGCATCAACTCGGCCATCACACACGTCAAGACGCGTTGGCACAGCCAACACAACGACAAGCCGGCAAGCCTGCAAGCGAGCACAAACAGAGAGAAGTGAGAGAAGGAGGAGAAAGATGCACCTGAACCCAAGACGGCAGCCAAGAAGAAGAAGAGCACGGCGGAACTGCTGAACTGTCGGCATCTCCGACACTCGCGCTTTTACTCTCTACCTCTACTCGTCTGCTCGCTGGCTTGCAATTATTACAAGGAGGGTGGGCCAGGAAAGAAGGAGGGTGTTGTGAGTCAACACACTACAGCAAGCAAAGCCTTCAAAGAAAAACACAGCCACTAAGCAGCAGCATGATAAGTTGTGATGGTAGGATGGTCTTTTGTAGCCTCGTGTCGTGGGCACACAACCCGCTCTTGTTCCCACATCACAACAGAGGGATCCTCTGCCATGATTGCTCGGTGGCTGTTCAGGGGTTGTCCTCGGCCCTCAACAAAACAATATGTAGACTGAAAACGAAGATGGCGTTCTTGGGTCTTGCTGTCTTGCTTTTAGCGGACCTGAGCGCTTCAATAATACAGGTGAGCTAGGAGCTGCGTTAGTTGGGGAAACACGGTACCCCGTCACAAGAAGCGGGTAGGAATGCTCACAGTCTTCAATAGTCGAGTGAGGCTGCACTGGAAACAAATCAACCCAAGGCAACCAGAAGAAATCCACATCGAGCTTTGTGTTCTCTAGCTCTTCAGCAAGCTTGTTCCTTTACCCCCTGCCTTGATGCTCTCATGCAATGAACATCAAGCCCTGCTACGGCTGTTAATCAACTGCACCACGAAGCAATCAGAAGGATTCATCGTCCAGTCCAGCAGTTCAAACAGCCCAAACCAAAAAAAAAAGGCAAAAAGAACTGGGGTCCTGCCGGGATTTGAACCCGGGACCTCCCGCACCCTAAGCGGAAATCATACCCCTAGACCACAGGACCGCCATATTGCTTGGTCTCCATGGCAAAAATTGCTTAACTCAAGCATACCCCGGCAATGCCGCACACAACAACCACAATCACACACAACCGCACATCACACAACCACACGACAACCACGACGCTGCTCACTCACTCTCCCTTCCAACGCCCGCCTCTTCCAATCCAACTCGTTTTATGACGACGCCAGCGCCGGCGGTGCCGGCCACAGCAGCCCGACTGGTGCAGGGGGTGCAGTGCGACTTCAAGCGGTTTGGGGAAGCCGCGGACAAGAAGAAGTGCGTCCTTGAATTTGCGGATGGGGGCGTGTTCTCCCGCATTCGCAAGAGGGACATTGAGGAGCCAAAGCCGGCGTTCATGCCGGCAGATGCCACGCCGGCCTGCCGCCCCCAGCCGGGGAACCCCACGGCGCACTTCTTTGTCGTGCACATCACAAGCAAGCATTCGGACAGCAAGATTGGCGTGGGCATTGTGCCGTGCTCGACGACGGAGCAGAGCACGTCCAACACGAGCATGCAGGAGCACTCCATCCGCTTCTACTCCGATGGCCGGCTGTGCAAGCGGCGCCAGTTCCCGCTCAAGCAGCTGCCGCCAGCCAACAAAGGTTCTCGAATCCTCGTTGTCTTGGACTGGCAACGAGGCAAGGTCATCTTCTTCGTTGGCCACCAATCCGACACACACATGCATGCTCTTTCCCACGCGGCGCAGCTGTACTCATACCAGCAAGTGTGCACGTATGCTCTCTCCCCTGACATGAGCAATGGCGTGAACCCGCTCGTTCTCCTGACATACCGTGGCGTATGTGTAAGCTGGTGGTCTTGGTGTGCATGTGTGTGTGTGTGTGTGTGCATGTGCACCTGTGTGTGTGTGTGTGTGTGAGTGAGAGAGTGAGAGAGTGAGAGAGTGTGAGAGTGCATACGCCGCTCCTCTGAGCGCATACGCCGCTCCTCTGTGTGCATGTGTGTGAATGCTGCCACGGTACACTGCTGGCCTGTGTTCACACGCCTCTGTGCTTCATGCACGAGCATGTGCATCCCTCCTCCTCCCAGCCCAATCCCCACTCACACGCGTGTGTCACGTTTCCAGGTGGAGTTTGTGCATGAGCAGGAGTCTGCAGTGAAGGGCTTGCTTCTCGCCAGCTACATGTCTGACATCTCGCGCCACGGTACGCATGTATGTTGTCGTGCTTGTTTCTGACACACCTCATGCCTGATCAGAGCTCTTTTCATTACCCACGCGCCGCTCCCCACCAGTAGTGCGCGCCACCATTAGTGCGCTACACCACTGCGCTCACCTGATTCCCATCGCTCACCATCCGCTGCGCACGCTTTCGCCTCGTCCCAACATCTGTGCAGACGAGCACGTGCATCCCCTGCCAGACACGCAAGAAGTGGGCGTGAGCACGGATCCAGCGGACCTATCGGAAGCCGACGCCGCCAAGGCACTCAAGGAATACGCACGTGCACCATTCAAAGACGTCCTCGCCGCCCAACAAGCGTGCGTCGTCAATCGCCCTCCATACACACACGCACACGCACATAATTATAGCGCCTGTCTTCTTTCCTTCCTGCCCCTTATTGCCCCCCTCGCGCTGCTGATTACAGAAAATTATTATATTCTTGAAAGTAAACCTCATCCCGCATACACCCACACAACCACCACACAACCACCGCACAACCACCACACGACAACCACACCACACCACACCATCATCACCTCATCTCGCGCCCTCGTTCCCCCCTCTCTCTCTCCCTTGTTGCTCGCTGTGTTGTTCACGATTCACATCAGTCATGTCACATCATGTCACTCCGGTGTATCACCACCATTTATTCGTTTGCAGCCACACCCTCCACACCCTCCACACCCTCCACACCGCAAGAGACAAATCTCACCACCACCACCACCACCACCCATCCACCAACCACAACAAGCCACGCTCAGTCACTGCCGGCTGTGAGCCAGCGGTCAAAGACATGCATGCCACCCGCAGCCGTTCCAACCAGGAGGCGGGTGCCATCAGCAGACAGGGTGCACGCAGTGACACTGCCGGGAACAGCAACTGCGCCCACCAGCACCAGCTGGGGCGGCTGCACGCTCAGCTCGCTGTCTCGCGTGGTCCGCTCCCCGTGACGGCGACAGTGCCACACGCGCAGCATGCCGCGCGCATCGCCCGTCACCACCACCGCCACGCCGCCGCCATCATCATCACCACCACCACCACACGCAGGCGCAAAGCAGGCGGTGATTGGCGACGAGTGCGCGTGAACAACGGCGTACTGGCGAGAGAGCAGCGGGCCACCGACAGCCTCGTCGCAGCGCCAGCAGCACACAGCGCCGGACGACGTGGTGAGCAGCAGGCCCTGCTTGAGCCAGGCCACGTTGGTGGCCCACGTCCCGTTGATGTTGCACTCTGTTGCGCGCACAGACGCCAGCCGTTCAACGGCAGCAGAGCCCAGCCGAAACACGTCCACAAGCCCGTGTTCGTACGCCACAGCAACCATGCTGCCGCCAGGGGACACGGCAGCGTCGACGGCAAAGTGCTTATCGCGGAACGAGACCGGGCGCTGCATGTCACGCAGCTGCGCATCATACACCAGCACCATCCCCGACCAGCCACACACAATGACCCGCTGAGGTGCCTGCGCCACAACCACCCGCGTAATGGGGTGTGGCGCGTCAACACGTGCCAACACCTTGGCATCCACCTCCGCAGCGCTGCTGCTGCCCAGCGCCACGTTCAACAGCGAAACATCCTGCACGCCAACAACAAGCACGCGAGTGGCCTGCTGCAGTTGCTGCTGCAACGCGCCTTGCTGCCCGCTCTGTGTGAGTGCACCACCGCCACCACCAACAGTGCTCCTTACAGTGGCGGTGGCGGTGCTCCTGCTGCCCTGACCGTCAACTTCAAGCGCCACTAGCGAGCGCACAATGTTCCCGTCACCCGCACCGCCAGCAACGCGCAAGCGCTTCACAGCGACGGGCAGCGTGTCGCCGTCATCATCGCCAACGCCACCCGCGGCCTCCTGAGCTGCAGCACTGAACAGGCGCAGCGAGACCTCGCCAGCCTCCACTGCCGTCATGGCCACGGAGCCGCCGCTCGACACGGGCACAACACCAACAACGGCGCTGTGGTGGTGGTGCAACGACACGGGCGTGAGCATGTGCAGCTGCTGCGTGTGATCGACGGCGCCACGCCCCTTGTACGCTCCATAGCGTGTGTGGCGGCGAGACGAGGAGGTGGTGGATGTTGTGCCCCTGGTGCGGCCAGAGCCACCGCTGAGGATGGACCGCTTCTCGGTGGTGCTGATGCCACTGCCACTGCTGTTGGCAGAAGCGGTGCTGGCGTCCTCGCCCACTGCGCGCTCCACCATTGCCAGCACATCCACGAGGCGAGGCGGCGCCGTGCCCGCTGCACGCACGACCGGCAGGCGCATGGCACGTGACAGCAGTGTGAGCATGCTGTTAGTTGGCTCCTGCCACTTGGAGTACTGCCCGTCCAGGGACGCCGCCAGCACCTGGTCCTCACTCGTGTGCGTCACGCACGTCACGTCGCGGGTGTGCGCAGTCATGTCTGTCACGTGTGCCAAGCGGTCTGGGCGCCAGCACATGAGCGCACCCTCGGAGCCGCACACATACACGAAGCCGACACCATCATCACCACCACTGCGAGCGCCACGGGCAGGCGTGCTTGTGGCGGCCACGGCCATACACTCCTCCATGGGCTGCTGCTTGGTGGCCAGCAGGCTACCGTCCTCGCTCCACCACCGGTAGGTGCCATCCATGCCGCAGGTGAAGATGTGCACACCAAGGAACGCCACATCCGTGACAATGCCTTCGTGACCAGCCAGCACGGCGAGCAGGCGCAGGCTGTACGGCTTTGTTCGCGGCGCCTTGACATCTGCTGACGCTGCAGACGCGGTGTTGGTGTTGGTGGTGGTTGCAGGCGTGTCACGGAAGCCCTTGCGCTGGTAGGCAAAGACCTTGGCCAGGCCGTCATTGCTGGTGCTCACCAGGCGCGTGCCATTCGCGTTGACGCACAGCTGCGTGATGCGGTCCGCGTGCACGTTGGCCTCTTCCTCCTGCACGTGCGCGCTGCTGGTGTGTGCGAGCACAATCTTGCCGTCCCAGCCGCCAGCAAACAGCGTGGGCTGGCTGGGGTGCCGGCACAGCGCAGAGACGCCGCCCTCGTGCGACGCGGCCACAGCCATGCGCGCAAACGACCCGTCCTGCTGGCGCCGCAGAAAGTGCAGGTGCCGGTCCACATCGCCAATCGCCACCTCGTTGCGCGTCAGCACACACGCAGACAGCACGTCCACGTCGTGCGTCAGCGCGGACGTTCGCCAGGAGGAGGAGGAGGAGCGAGCCGCTGCCGTGTCGACGCCTCGCATCACGCCCTCAATCAGCACCACGCGGCGGTCCTGCCCAAACGAGACAACGCTGTCCGTGCGCGTGTCCGGGGAGATGCCCGACACGGCGCGGTCGTGCACGAGCTGTGCCCGCACCACGTTTCCTTCAAGGTCAAACGAGGCCACGGTGCCATCGCCATAGCCGACAAGCACGACGGCGTCGCGGTGCACGCACATGCACGTCGCATCTGCGCGCGCAAAGGAGGTGGGCCCAGCCAGCGCGCTGCGGTGCAGGGAGAGCTCGCCAGGCTCCGCCTCAAGCACGCGCACGGCGCCGTCCGAGCAGCCAAGCGCAAGCGTGGCTGCAGACATGCTGAGGGCGAGGGGTGTGACCGAGGGCTGGGGCACCGCGTTGAACGTGACAACGCGTATCCCGGACGGCATGGCAAACACAGTCACGTCACCGGATTTGCAGGCCACGGCAAGGCTGGAGCCATGGGGGTTGTACCGCAATGCCTGCACGGGCGATCCTGTCTTCAGCACCACCGCTGCTGGGCCCGGTGCAGCGCGTTCCAGCACAAACGGCTTACCCTGCCGTGACGATGATGAAGACGCACCGCCTCTTCCACCACCACGGCCACCACGGCCACCACGGCCACCACGGCCACCACGACCACCACGACCACCACGACCACCACGACCACCACCACGGCCGCGGTTGCTTGCAATGCTTTGATCTGGAGCGCGGGTGAGCCTGGCCTGTTCCGCATCGTTGGTGGTGGACGCAGCCAGCACATCCCAGACGACCACGGCGCCGGACCAGTGGCCAACAGCCACGGTGTTATCGTCCGCAGTTGTCGCCAGCGCGTTAGCGGGGCCCTGCGTGGCGCGCAGGATGGAGGTGGGCTTCCCCGTGCGTGCGTCAAACAGGCGGGCTGTCTGGTCCCAGGAGCATGTGGCCACAAGCCGGTGCTGCGACAGCAGCGTCGCTGCCGTGACCCTCCGTGAATGGCCCGTGAACGTTCGCACGCGCTCCTGCGAGGCAACGTTCCACATGCACGCGCGGTCGTCGTCTCCACAAGACAGCAGTTCGTGGTCCGAGGTGGTGAACGCAAGCGCCGTTACCGCGCCACCGTGCGCATCCAGCACGGCCACACGCTGCCCACTCTGCGCATCGGCGACGGTGATCGCACCAGCGGGCGTCCCCCACGCGACAAAGCAGCCAGAGGGGCTGATGGCAAACGCAGCGACCGAGGACTGCACATCCTCCGCTGTCAACGGCGATGGCGGCACAACAGCGGCTGGCGACCCAGCCTGCACCAGCAGCTGCGCCGCATCACTCCCGGTCTCTTTCCCGCACTGGTGTTGTTGCTGCTGTTGTTGCTGCTGCTGCTCGGCGGTGTGCGCACGTTGCGTTGCGCCTGCGCGCGTGGCTGTGCCGCGTTGCACTGGCCCTGTTTGCTTCCAGCTCTTCATCGTCACGCTCGAGGCTGAGGTGCGGGAGGTGCCAGCACCGCGATGGCCGCTGGCATCCGCATCCACATCGGCAGCAGTCAGCTTGACCAGGGTGGCGTTGGCTTCGAGGTCACGGAAGGCGGCGATGGCGCGGGCGCGCAGGTGTGGGCACGAGCGGTCGTTCACAGCGGCCTGCAGCACAAGGCGTGGGTAGCTGGCCAGCAAGCGTGCGTGCCGCGCAACGAACGTGTGCAGCTCAGCCAACACGGTGTCGTTCGCAAGCGAAGTGACGGTGGATGGCGGGAGCGGTGTTTCCAGGAAGAACGCGCCGCTGTACATGGTGGCCACCTGCTGCAGCTGGCCCATGCGCGCAGCGGCCTCCACAAACGCAAACTGCGACACGCAGTCCTTGAAAGCACTCACGGAGGAGCCGAGGAGGTGGTGGTAGGGGAGGTTGAGCAGCGCACACGCGTCATCGCTGCTGAACAGCGGGCCTTGCACTTCCGATACTGTTTGCCGTGCGCTGGCACCAGCGCCAGTGTCGGCATTGCTGTCGCCCGCGTGCTGCGCATCGTGACGCGTTGTCACCGGTGGCTCCACGCGCAGGCTGCTGCTCAGCGCAAGTGACGAGGATGCCAGTGACGACGACGACAGGGCGAGAGCACTTCTGCCTGCGTTGTTGCCACTGGTGCCACCAAACGCACCATGAAGCGTCTGTCCGTGTGCCTGTCGTCCGAGGGATGCTGGTTCGTCCACGCTCGATGCTGCGCCTGCTCGCCCTTGTGCTCCCTGTGCACCTGCTTCGGTCGTCGTTGTGCGAGTTGTGGAGCGGAGCAAGCGGTCGTAGTGCGCTGCAAGCATGGCGTGCACGGCCTTGGCTGGGCGGCCCGTCACGCCATCGGGCAGGTAGCGCTTCATGCACACGCTGCGGAGCTGTGCGTGCAGGAACGTGCGCTGTCCATCAGCGGCTGTGCGGGAGGGGCGGGTGAGGAAGGGCGCAATGTTGTGCACGAGACTCATCACCAGCAGGGGCGATGCCGCAGGCTGTGGCCTGGCTGCTGCAGACGCGTACTGCCGCTGACCGCCACTGGCGGCAACACCGCACTGGGATGCGGTTGACAGCAACGATGACGCCTTGTTGGTGGACGTGGATGTGCGCAGCAGCCCTGAGGGTGTTGATGACGCCGATGCAGACGTCGATGCAGACGTCGATGCAGCTGCGTCGGAGGCTGGCAGCGGCTCGAGCAACAGCGCCAGGAGATCGCCTTCGCGGAGGCCATCGCGGCTGCACAGCAGCAGGCGCATGCAGGAGGCAACCAGGGCGTGCCCAAGCTCTTGCTCCAGGCGGTCAAGGACTTGCCCAAACAGCTCAGGCAGCGTGCCGGCGAGGGACGCAAGCTTGGCGTCCAGGGTTTCGAAGGAGGCGCCTAGGCGGAGCTCCTGACAGGCCACCTCCAAGTACAGCGGCAGGCCCGCGTCGCGCTTGCTGGTCAGCACGTTCAGCTGGTTGTTGAAGGCGGACTCGTCAAGTCGCTTGCTGTAGCGGTGCAGGATGCTACGGGCCAGGGCGGCCTTGTCGCGTGCACTGAGCGCACGCAGGGCAACCTTGGCCAACCGAAGCCGCGTCTCTGCCTCCAACCTCCTCTGCAGCGCGCGTGTGACCGGGCCCTCGGTTGCCGACAGAACCAACTTCACGTTGGGCGGAAGCGGCAGTGGCAGCCATTCAAGCAGCTGTGCTCCCGTGGAAGCCCCACCCCCACCACCAGCACCACCACCAGCACCACTGCCAGTAGCGGATGCGCCCGTGGCTGCACGTCGCCCGTGGCGGCCGGTTGGTGTGGACGACAGCGCGTTGAGGCCGTCCAAGGCAATCACCAGCGTGTGAGATGGCGGAACGGCCTTGCTGGCTGCCTTCAGCCGCGCTTCAAGCTTTGCCTTGAGCGCGGCCGCCCGCGTTGCACCACCACCACCACCACCACCACCACCACTGTTGCCGCTGCCGCCATCACCAGCATCACCATCGTCATCGTCATCGTCGTCACCATCGTGTGCGGTGCCGTGTTGTGCCGTTGCTGATGACGACGCGCCAAAGCGGAGTTTGAGCTGACGGCAGAGGTGGCTGAGAACACTGGACCAGGAGGATGAGCCGGGGACTGCACCGACGAAGAACGGCAGCACATGCACCCACCCGTGCTCGCTTGCGTGCATGTCGCAGAACTTGGCAAGGAAGGCTGACTTGCCGAGTCCGGCCTTGCTGTGCACCAGGCATGCATGGTCGTGCAGTGCGGACCGCACGTGCGTGTCCGCAACAAAGGCCTGCACCTGCTGCAACTCTTGGTCGTGGCCCACAAACGTCTCCGCAAGCGCCTGCGCCCGAAGCTGATGCTCATCCAACGGCAGATCGCTCGACGATGAGGTGGAGGAGCAGGAGGCATCGTGGCTGGTCTCGTCAGTGTCGGTGTTGGTACCATCAGTGTCTTCCTCGTCGCTGTCATTGGATTCGTTGCGTGGTGCAGACACGTCTTCCACTTCTTCATCATCCTGCGTAAGGTGAAGGCGAAGGGATTGGGATTAGGGTCACAGTGAGCCGCTGCAAGATGGTGGTGGTGGTGGTGGTGATGGTGGTGGTGTCGTCTATACCACAACACAGACAAACACACAGACAGACAGACAAACACACACACACACACACACAGACAGACACACACACAGACGAGCAAAAAGCAAGCGCGGGCACCTCAGGGTTGATCATGTAGTTTGACTTGAGGAGGGTCCAAAGATGGTCAAAGACCCACTGGCCAAACGAGTGGAGGTTGGCTGCAGCCGGCAGGATGGTCGATGCATCACTCACGCCCTCCTTCCACCCTGCCCGGTAGTTATCGAGAAGAGGAAGGCCACTCCTGCGCACGCGCTCCTTCAACTGCTCAAGCTTGCGCCGCTGTTCCTCGTCGTGGTCCACAAACTTGGACCGGTACATATCAGGTACCTGTTGAGGTGGTGGCGGTGATGATGATTTGGGGCCGGAAAGAGGAGTGTGTGTGTGTGAGCGAATGCGTGCATGTGTGTGTGTGTGTGTGTTTGTGTGTGATGGGTATGGGTCACATGTGAGGGGTTGGATGTGTGTGTGTATGTTGTGGGGTGGCGTTTAATCATATGGGGGTTGTGTGTCAACAATTGCAAAATGTTGTCCTCAAAACCTCACACACACGCACAATACACATGCGCACATACACATGCACACACAATACACACACAATACACACACACACACAATACACATGTGCTCACCTCATCGGGAAAGGCGCTGCTGCGAATGCAGAAGAACGAGCGGTTCTTTGAGGCGTGCGGGTGCGCCAGGCCGCCAACGTGGCACTCCAGTTCCGTGATGGAGCGCTGTGGCGGGTACGACTTGAGCCACCCAAAGCGGCCGTCGCTGTCGTCCACAGGATACGACTCTGGCGCCCACCCATACCGGTTGCCTGCAAGCACGCCATGGCGTCAGCAACATACAACACAAGGGTAAGCGTGTGACGTGAGCAAGGGAGCGAGTTTGCGCGGGGTTTCAAGCAGCAATTACAGCCACCACACGTCAACACAGCAAGCAATCCACTCGCGTACGCACCAAGAAAGGCGAGGAAGATGTGGCTGCTCTCGACTTCGCGAAGACAGGTGGTGAGCGCGGTCTGGTCGCGCACCTCGTGCTCCGTAATGCCCCACCGCAGGTCCACCTGCCGTTCGTCGCGGTGGTCAAGAGGGTCAAGAGGGTCAGGGACGTGGGGAATGTGTGAAAACACGTGGGGAATGCGAGGAGAAGGTGTGCACAGGCTGAAAACAATCACAGGAACGGATCATGCACACGCGCTGACATGTTGACAAACATTCATTCATTCACACACACAAACACACACAAACACACACACGCACACGCACACACACACACACACACACACACACACACACACACACACACACACACACAACACACACACACACACAAACAAACATCTCAACGCACCTCGAAAAGTTTGATGCGGAGGGCATCTGCGCGAACCCGCAGCTCTGGCATGATGTTCCGCGTGAAGTAGTTGCGCTCGCCGTGCATGTCCGTGAACGTCGACGACACAAAGATGCGCACAACCCTCCACGTGCCTGTGCTTGGTGGGCGTGGCACGGGCAGCAGGCCCAAGGGCTCTGCGCCAACGGTGTCATCATACAGCCCAGCCTCGCTCGCGCCATCATTGTGGCTGCTGCTGCTGCCGTTGTTCAGCGCGTTGCGTGCAAGTGACCTCTTGTGACCGCGTGATGCAAGCGCAGACGACTTGTGTTTGCCCTTGTTTCCTGCCAGCAGGCGCCGTGCCTTGCGGGTGAGCCCACTCCCTTTTGGTTTGGCCTTTTCCCGCAGCCGCCGATGAGAGTCGATGCTCTCCACAAACGCCAACACGCCCCTGTGGTTGTGTGTGCGTGTGGTGAGTGTGCGTAGGTGTGGTTGTGTGTGCGTGTGGTGAGTACGTGCGTGTGTGTGTGCGCGTGCGTGAGTGAATTTGTGTGTTGTTGTGTTTGTTTGTTTGTGGAAGTGATGTGAGCCGTGGCGCGTGCATGAAAAGGACGACATGACAGATAAAGGACGTGTTTGCGCGTCTCCCCCCCCCACACCTTGCTTCGCTGCGCTGGGCGACGTAGTTGAGGATGGCGTCGGAGTAGCCGGCCAGGAACACATCCAGCTGATCATTGCGCTCTGGAAGAACACACATACAAACACATGAAATTCAACGCAGTGAACTCCACCGCAACCCAAGCTTCCCCGAGCACACGTTCTCCAGCACGCACACACACACATAATCACCCACACCCACCCACCCACACACCCACCCACACCCACCCACCCACACACCCACCCACACCCACACCCACACCCACCCACCCACACACACCCACACCCACACCCACACCCACACACCCACACACCCACACCCACACCCACACCCACACACAATCACGCACGATTACGCACCGATATCTGAGAGCGGGCCAGCGTCGTCGGCGGCGGTGACACATCCAGCAGACCGCTGGGCAAGATCAACCATGACACACAGCAGCTCCGGATTGAGAAGGCGGCGGTGGCGCAGCAGAGGGTCGGCAATCTCACGCGTCATCGTGCAGTGCACTCCAAAGAAGAGGATGTTGTCCAGGCGCTGCCCGTGTGCTGTCAGGTGTGCGAGCAGGGCATATGGGAACCCAACACACGTCTTTTTCTCCGCCATTGCTGCCGACCACGCACACGCCACCCTGTGCAGCTCAGAGCGCTCGTTTGCAGCCTGCGTCTTGTTGCCGTAGCTGCGGTACAGCTGTTGCACGCCTGCCGGTGTTGGCGTGCGTGTGTCACCAAATGTGCGGAGTTGCTCGCTCACCGCCACCAGCTGCTTCGTCAGCGTGAGGATGCCGAAATCGCGACCGCTCACCGTCACCACATAGGGCACGCACTCGTCGCTGTGCAGCACAAGCGTGCACTCCTCCGACGCCTTCTTGCACATGAGTGCCAGCAGCAGCGCCACCTCAAGTACCATGCGTGGCTTGCCCAGCCCCCGCGCAGACGTGCACGGCAGTGCTGCTGCCTCCGCCGACACATCCACAAACACGAGCGTGGTGCCGCGAATCGGGCTCACGTTGTACTGCGTGGCAAGCTTCACGCTCACGTTCAACGCGTCGTGGTACTGCTGTGTGAGCGCACGCAGTTCAGGCGTCACCGGTGGTGCTGGTTTCACCGCCTTCTGTCCACCACCACGGCCACCACGGCCACCACGGCCACCACGACCACCGCGACCGTGGCCGCTTGCAGCTGTCTCCGGGTGCACGAGCTCATGCAGAACCTCAAAGGCAGAGAAGAAGCGAAAGGGAAACTGACGGCTGGAGGCGATGGCGCCAGGGTCTGTTAGCTTGCCCAGCACGCGCTTGTGGTGGCGCTCGCTGACGCCCGCAAGGATGAGGTTGCGTAAGTTGCGCAGCATGGCCATGAAGGGCAGCTTGTTCGAGTCAAGCAGGTCCTCCCACACCTCGGCCGTGTTCCCGCGCAGAGACACCTGCGTCTCCCACGTCTTGGGCACCTGCAGCCGCATGCGCTTGCCGGCCAGGCTCTCGTCCCACTTGCCAGGCAGACGCGAACGCACAAACTCCTCCTGCGAGCTCGGGTACTTGCGGCCGAGAATGCACATGATGGGGTACGCGGGCTCCACAATGTGGATCTTGCGGATGAGCTGCTTCATGGTGAAGGACATGGCCTCCAGCTCCTCCTCATCATCAGAGCGGTTCGAGTACTGGCGCACAACCGCTTCTTCGCCTTCACGCTCATCATCACCATCACCATCACCATCATCATCATGATCATCATGATCATCATCATCGCTCATCCTGCCGCTGTCTGCTGTGTTTGCACTACGGACTCGGCGGGGCCTCCGTCGAGCAACACGGCTGCGGTTGCCGCTGGCGCTGTTGTCGGTGCTGGCGCCTTTCTTCTTGTTGCTGTTTTTCTTCTTGGACTTGTTGTACTTGGCCAGCTGGTACTCGTCAAAGTCGCTGAACTTGGCGGCCATCGCCTTGCGCAGCGCCGAGGGCAGCGCGCCAAAGCCAAGGTGCCGGTTGTGCGCGTGCAGGGACGTTGACAGCTCGGCCACCTCGATCCAGTCGCTGGGCAGGCGCACGGCGTCGGAGAAGTACAGCCAGAGGTAGCGGCGGGAGGCCGGGAAGTTGGCTGCGGCAGCAAGCAAGAAGTTGCTGGTGGTGCGGATGTTGAGGTGCTGGCGCGAGTACAGGGCGAGCTTGAGCACAAACTCCGGGTCCACGCCCAGCACGGTCGTGGTGAGGCTCAGCAGGTGCTGGCGTGTTGGGTCGGTGGCTTCCTTGAAGTTGGGCCCGCCAATCAGCGACGCCGCCACGGTATTGACAAACTCCAGCTTGAGGTTGTTGATGGCGCGGCGCCGCAGGCGGTGCAGGGAGGGTGCCTGCTGCACCAGCCGGCTTGCGGCGTGCGCCTGTGCCACCTTCCACGCCTCAAACTCGGCATCCTCCAGTGACAGGTGCGCCGTTTCCAGCGCCTGCTCATTGGACGCCAGGGCCAGTGCCGTGGATGATGCTGGCGCGTTGTCGCTCCCACGCGTGCTGAGCGCGAAGGCTGAGGTGGAGGTGGACGACGTGGTGCCCATGCGACCGCTGCGCATCATCAGCTTCGAGGATGTGGCTGTGGAAGCCGACGAAGGTGTGCCAGATTGCAGACGAAGTGTCGATGCTGTTGTTTTTGATGTTCTTGCTGCTGTGGTGATGGTGGCGGCGGCGGTGTTGTTGTTGTTGTAGCGCGATGCGTGCAACACATGGCCTGTTGGCGTTGTGGTTGTTGTTGGTGTTGATCGCAGGGTGTTTGTTGTTGGTGATGGGGTGATGTGGCTTGTCGTGTGCTGTGGAGAGCTTGTTGTTGTCATGGGACGCAGCAGCGTGGAAACCGTGGCGTTCCCTGTCGCTCTTGCTGCTGTTGATGTGGAAGAAGCAGATGTCAAGGTGGGCGATGCCAAGGACGACAGCCCAGAGATCGTTGTCGTCGTGGGCTGCAGCAGGCTGTTCTGTGACGCCTTTGATGGTGTTGCCCACCGATTGGATGTCGTTGACGGCGACGACATGGCTGCTGTGCGATGAGCAAGAGAGAGAGAGAGAGGGAGGGAGAGAGGGAGAAGGTGGGGGGGTTCGCGCGCTCGCTTGTTTGTTCGCTCGATCGATCGCAGTGTCAGTTCACACAACTCGATCGAAGCAGCAGGGTGTGGGGGTGGTGTGTGTGTGTAAATGCGGCAGTGTGCTGGTGGTTGTTTGCGTCGAAGGCGAGGAGGCGTTGTTGGTGCGCGTCAGCAGTTTTTATTCATGAGTCAGCAGAAAAAAAAAGGGGATAACAGGATACAAGAACAGCGCAAACAAACACACACACACACACACACACACGTAGACACAGACACACATAGACACACAGACGTAGACACACACACACACACACACACACACGCAGATGCACACACAGACGTAGACACACACACACACACAGACGTAGACACACACACACACACACGCACGCAGATGCACACGCACAACAAGCTATGGTTGGTGAAGAGACCAGGCGGCCGAACCCTCTGTGTGAAAAGGCGTGATGGTGGCACGACCATGCTTCTCCAACATGGCACACAACTGCCCATCAAAGTCATAGTATGACAACAGCACAGCCTCCTCTCTTCGCGTCACAGCGTCATCATCGTCATCATCATCGTCATCATTGTCGTCTTCGTTGTCGTCATGCTCATCATCACGAGCAGCAATGTCCGTTGGATGGGTTGACCACGTGCGGTTGGTGCCACTGGCACGCTTGCAATCCCGGCCAACCCGCACAGTGACAGCCTGCTTTCCGGATTCAATCGCCAACAGCTGCTGCACCACCTTCAAACACGATCGCATGCGTGGCGGCACCACCACCACCGCCACCGCGGGGTGCCTTGTCTCAGGGCCAGCCTCGGCCAACGTGTCACTGCTCCCTTTGTCGTCCTCACGCCACATGTCATCACGATCAGCAACATTGCCGCTGTCGCTGTTGTCATCTTCAGCAGCCGTGTCATCATTGTTGTTCACATCACCATCATCACCATCATCACCATCGCCACCATCATCACCGTCTTCCCCATTCGCCGACACACTCTTGCTGCTGGAGGTGGAGTGTTTGAGGCGAGAGCGTGTTGGGGAAGACCCAGAGAGCGACGAGGCAGAGGATGTGGAACCAACACCACTGCGCTGCTGCTGCCGCTGTTTCCGCCGCTGCCGCTGTCTTGTTGGCGTACCCGGCGTCCGTGGGGTGGACGGCATGGAGAATTCAGACAGCATGGATGATGACAGCATGTCTGGTTCAGCCAGCAGCAGGGCTTGCTTTGTCTGCCCGCCCACCGCCGCCGTTGTCACCTCCGCTGCGTCCAGCAGCGCGGATGCCTTGCAGTCTTCGCTCCCGCCACACACGGCATGGTCGCTCACGGCAGCAGTAGTCTTCGCACTGTTGGTCTTGGTCGAGGAGGAGCGGGACAGCGCAGCAGCAAGCGCAGACTCCGACACGCGCCGTGCTGATGACGAGGCCGACGAGGCTGATGGCGCCGTTGTTGCTGATGGGTTGCCCGCACGAGGATGCAGCAGCGCGGCCGTGCGCAGCAGCGTGTCAACTGAAATGCGCAACACCTCCGACTGTGACGCCGGATGCAGCAACACGCCTGCATCATCACCCTTGCTGCTGCCGCTGCCGGTGCCGGGGATACCGCTTGGTGCATTGGTTGCTGCTGTTGTCGTTGATGTTGTTGTGGTGCCTGCTGTGCTTGTTGCGGTTGTTTTTGTTGCTGTTGTGGTGTTTGTTGTGGTTGTTCTTGTAGTGTTTGGTGTAGCTGTTGTTGTTGTTGTTGTTGTTGTTGTGGCTGTCGCCTGCTTCTCGTGCGAGACGGCAGATACAAACGGCTGCCAGAAGGCGGCGCTGAGCGCTTTGTTGCACGCAAAACGCCCTTCCGCTTGCCACACACCAGAGGCATGGAGAAACGCTGCATCCTGCGCATGCCCAACAGCCTGCAGTGCACCCCCTTCTTTGGCTGCTGTTGCAGCTGTTGTTGCTGTTGTTGTTGCCGTGGATGTTGCAGTTGTTGTTGGTGCTACCACTTCGCCTCGCAGCTTGCGCCGTGCTGCAGCTTTGCTCTCACGCACCCCTTGCTCATCAAGAGTGTCATCGACGTTGCCGTCGTTGTCGTTGGTCGTAGTGATTGTGGCGGCACGCTCGGTGTGCTTTGCAGTGCCAGTGCCAGTGCCATTGTCACTGTCCGCAGCGGGCGTTTCGGTGTCTGTGTCGGAGCGCTCAAACGTGATTGGGCGGTAACCGTTGTGGATGGAGCAGGCGTAGGCAACGGCAAGCTTCACAAGCGTGCTCTCGCTGGCCAGGTCCAAGTTGAGGGTGGCTGCGTGTTCAAAGTTGACCAGGCGCAGGTACGGCAGCTTCTCTGCTGCCAGGACGGGCTCGTATGCGGCCTCGTAGTTGCGGATGCGCCGCCACATGTCCTGCTCGGCGACGGCGCGGTCCATGCCGACCCAGTCCGGCGACATGTCCATCTTCTCCGACACGTTCTGCTGCACCATCTCCGGGCGCTCAAAGACAGACTCGATGAAGAGGCAGCGCACGCCGCGGTGCTGCTGCAACTGCAGGAGCTCCAGCACCCACGCGCGCCGCTTGCGCGTGGTGTTGGTGGCGTCAAACACGGCCACGGACCCGTTCTCATCGTGCAGGAACTCCAATGCAGCGCACAGCGTGTCCATGGCCAGCTTCTCGCGACGGCTCAGTCCATCTGAGTTGCCTTTGCTGAACCACTCTGCATTTTGCTTTCCCTCCACCTCCTGTTTGGGACGGTGTGTGTGTGTGTGTGCGTGTGTGTGTGTGTGTGTGCGTGTGCGTGTGTGTGTGCGTGTGTGCACGGCGTTGTTCGGTGGATTGTATGTGCCACACTGAGAAGCACGCTCTTGCACGCATCAAAACCGCGATCAACGACAGCGATGACACACACACACACACACACACACAACACAACACAACACACTACGACACACACACACACACACACACACACACAACACACACACACACACGCACACACACACACACAC